CTGGGGCGTCCCGACCGCGGCTGGAGGCCGGGCTGCGACCGCGGCTGGGCACGGGAGGCCACAGGACCTGTGCCCGCGGTGAGCCGGGTGCCCCTTGTCATGTGAGTGTGGCAGGGAGCCGGGTGGGGCTGTTCTTGAAGAGGTTTCCTTGGAAACATTCGAAGTTCCCTTGTCCTGCGCCCCTAAGCTCATTTGGGAGGTGCGCCGTCCGGTTCCTCCTCCGTCTGGTGGATGGGCTCTGAGCCTGTGTGTCGGAGGTGCACCCGTGGGCTGGAGAAGAAAGTTCCCGAGCCGCAGAGACGACAGCTGTAGAGGGGTTTCAAATCCGCAGGCGCCTCCTTAAATGCTGGCCCCTTTCACAGGCAGGAGGCTTGATTTCCCAGTTAGTCTTTTCCCTTTGCGTGGAATGTTCCGAACAAGAGGATGGGACTGGAATATGATGGATAATTTTAAGGAATCGAGGTCTTTTGTCTAATATAGGGGCTCTTCTTAAGACATTCCAGAGACATGAGAAATACTAGAATTCTGTGCAAAGCAAGTTATTTTTGTTTACCTGATGTGTGTATATGTTAAATGATGATGTATTGATTCAGTGTATCCTCTGTTGTAAGATTAGCATGACATGGCCATTACAGGTAACTTGCTTGGTATATTGCACTGTCTTATTTCTGACTTATTTGTGTCTTATTTCTGGTTTGTTTGAATCTTTTAGAATCTTATTTCTGATTTATTTGGATCTTGTTTTCTGCCACTCCAAAAATTCCCACTCCATCAGGATTCTTACAAAAAATACTCTTAGTTTCTCTCACTTGGGTTTGGGTTTGCGGCAAAGGTTGAGTCTCTGTAGAGCAACGCCACTTTTCCTGTGCCCTCCCCTTTACTTTTGGGAAGGGTAATACGGATCACCTTGTGATTTTCCTTTAGTGTTTCTGTGGGCGTGCTGAACAACCGCAAAATCTTTGTTGATGAAAACTGACATTTCTAGTATTCAGCTGTCCTGCATTATTAGATCTGTTTTGAGTATTTGAAAAAAACTACTTAGCCCGGCCGGGCGTGGCTCAGTGGTTAAGGGTCGACCTAGGATCCAGGCGATCAGGGTTCGATTCCCAGTCAGGGCACATGCCCTGGTTGCAGGCTGCAGCCAATCAATGACTCTCTCATCATTGATGTTTCTATCTCTCTCTCTCCCTCTCCTTTCCTCTCTCTGAAATCAATAAAGATATATTTAAAAGAAAAAATAAAAATAATAAAAAAAACTACTTAGAAGCCCTGGGTGGGTAGCTCAGTTGCTTAGAGCATTGTCCTGATATTCCAAGGTTTCGGGTTCGGTCCCCGGTCAGGGCACATAAAAGAATCAACCATTAAATGCATAAATAAGTGGAACAACAAATTGATGTTTCTCCCCCCCCCAAAGTCAATCAATAAAAACATATTTTTTAGAAACTACTTAGAAATGCCTGATACTTGGATTTTTTTCATCTGCAGAAATTTTTATATTGGCTGGCAGATTGGGTTTATTTTCTACATTTTAATACCTGATTAGCCTTCAGATTGGCTTAAGCAATAAGATAATGTGAAGTGGGCCTGTATATAATAAATAGAGCCTTTAAATGAGAAGAGGCAACCAGTACTGGTGATACATCAGAGGTCTTTGGATGAGTAGGTTAATTATTTTAATTACCTGTCAATTAGGAAAGAGTCTTAGTTTATATCAGAGACAGTTATTAAGGTACCAGAGAATAAGAGTTGTAAAGTAGTTTTTTTCAGTATCCTGATGTCATTATGTGGTTTTAAAGATTAACTCTATATGGTTGTATTTACATTTGCTGAGTGTTTTCATGGTGATTTTAATCCTTACATCACCATAGCCTAATAAAAGTTTTGTATGTGGGTGACTCTTAAAAGTAACACTAAGACTCTTTGGGCAGATCGCTAACTCCGCTTCTGATGTTACTTTTATCAAAGCAGAATGAATGTAGGCTGATTTCCGAGGCCTGAGGGTTATTGCCATCACATTATTCTTTCTTTCCAGTGCTCCCCAACCCCCTTTGGAATTTATGTTTGATCAGTTTCCAGCTTATTTATTTCCTAACCCTTTATGCTAGAATATGGATTATCACCAAGCTTGAAAAGGATTGCTGACTGCCCTCCCCAGTAGAAGATGATGTTAGTGACCTTCCTTCCCTCTTTCCTTCCTCCTCGTCTCTCCCTTCCCCCTCTTCTTCCTCTGTTCCTTCCTCTTCCTCCTTTCCTTCCCTCCTTCCTCCATTCCAATAAACATTTACTGCCAAAATTCCGTTCAAGTCAGTGGTTTCAATTCTGCTTTGTTTAATTTATTAAGCAAATTATTAATCAGGCAACATCTTGAGTAGTTAGAATTCAGAAAGGCTAGAATTGGAAGTCCATGAAGAGCTACAAAAGTAATTTTGCTCTAAAGAACTCTGGGATGAAACTTGGGGTTTAGTTACAGCTTGACCACTGACTAGTTGTGTCACTCTCAAGAAAGCTGTTTTAGGCTCAGTGTACATCAGTTCCCTCAAAGGTGGAATATAGTAATAAGGCCAGTTCTCACCTTCCAGGCTTTTTGTAAAAATTCAGTGAGATGGTAAATGTGATTTTGAAAGTGAAAACATTTTATAAGGGTATAATGTCCTCTTTGTAAAGTATAAATTATATGACAAACTATAGCCCTTTAACGACTAGAATTATGCATAGTTCATGGTTCTCCTTTATTTGAAGTATTGATCAGTATGGCAGAAAATAGACATCAGTGCTTTTCTGTATCTTCCAGATGTGGTTACCTTTACTGCTTTGGGTTTTAAAAATATATATATCTTCATTGATTTCAGAGAGAGGAAGGGAGAGGGGGAGAGAGAGACAGAAACATCAATGATGAGAGTCATTGATTAGCTGCCTCCTGCACGCCCCCCACCTGGGATTGAGCCTGCAACCCAGACATGCACCCTGACCAGGAATCGAACCATGGTCGATGCTCAGTGGCTGAGCCACACCAGCTGGGCTGCTGCTTTGGTTTAATTATGAGTTCTGGTTAGTGTCTGGGAGGAAGAGGATGGGGAACAGCTTGTCCATCTGCATAGTTCCAAGGTGTTGGTACATAGCTTGAAGTAATTTTTGAGGTTATGTAGAAGTGTCATTAAGTGATGCCTATTTCATTTCTTTTCTTGAATATTTGCCTTTTATAGTTTTTAAAAGGAAAAATTGAAATGAGTAAAGCAAAGCTTTGAGATTTTCCCCATAACTTTAAAAAGCTATCGAATATCGTTTTTCCCCCCAAAAAATCTTAAAATGAAAAAGATATAAGCTATGCAAAAATGCTTTTTATTTCTTTCTACCTGTTCACATTTATGCCCTACTTCTAATTTTTAAATAATTTTGATAATTTCTGTAATTTGAGTAGCAATGTTGAAAATTAGATTAGCTATATAATCATGGTTTTAGGCGATTGAGACTTCCTTATGGTCTAGACCACAGGGTTTTCAAGCTTTAATTTGGAATATATGCTAAACTATTGATTTACTCTTTGGTTTTCATAGGTCTGAATTTTCAGATATTTAGGGATGCTGTTTGGAATTAATGTTTGGGCTTCCTGAGGAACTTGATATGTTGTGCTTATTTCTTTTGTTTTTTAGACCCATGAAATGGCCACAGATGATAAGACTTCCCCAACATTGGACTCTGCCAATGATTTGCCTCGGTCTCCTACTAGTCCTTCTCATCTCACACACTTTAAACCGCTCACTCCTGATCAGGACGAACCTCCTTTTAAATCAGCATATAGTTCTTTTGTAAATCTCTTTCGATTTAACAAAGGTAAGACTTATTCTTAAAGATCAGAGAACCTACAATTTTGATTCTCTGAACTTCTCTTGTTCAGGTTTCATCTTGTGTCTTTGTAAGAAAGTAAATTATTAACAGGGAGAGAGCTTTAATCATAGGTCACGGGTATACTGCTTAAGAGAAAGAATTTTCACTGTAATAATTTATTGGTAAGTGAAGATCTGAATAAATGTTAAAAGGAGGTCCCTTTTTAAAGTTCTTTTTTCCCTTTTTTTATTATGTTTCACTTAAGTTCACACAATGGACTTTGTTCTTTTAGGGATTAATAGCCAAAAGATTTTAATTAAAGCTGTGAAATTAAAAGAATCAGCACATGGGAGAAAAAGTTCTTATTTTTCAAAAATGGAAACTATTTTCAGGCCTCTTGTTGAGTTAAACCCATTAGGTAAGGTATAAATGTAATGCTATCAAATTAAAAGATACTTTTAAAGTGAGCTTTTTTTAAGTAATAGATTTTTTACCTGAAAGAAAAATTAAGAAAAATGGCCTACATTTTTTGCTTCATATTTGGCTGTATTGTTTGAAATGGGTTAGAAAATAAACCCTTTTGTCATAAGGAATTCGGGGTTAATAGTTTAAGTAGAAATTTTAATAGTATTAACTGACTTTTATTAGTAGACATGTTTAAAGCTCTGTAAAAAAGTTAGTCCATTTTTAAGACAATTAAAAAAATAAACCTTATTATTTAGAATAGTTTTAGATTTACAGAAAAATTGGGAAAATAGTACAGAGAGTTGTCATATTACCCCATACCCAGTTTCTTCTATTATTAACATCTTCTGTTGTTATGATACATTTATTACAATTAATGAATGAACCATTTTTGATACCTTACTGTGTTAATTAAAATATGTATTTTATTCATATTTCTTCAGTTTTTACCTAATGTCCTTTTTCTGTTCCAAGATTCCTTTCAGGAGACCACATTATATTTAGTCATCATAAGACAGCAATCTTTTTATTTAGCAAATGTTTATTGATCATCTCCTATCCACTGGGTACTATTTTAATAGACAAGGGATCTGATCTATCCCGTAAACAAAACAGACCCCCTCAAAAATCTATGCCTTTGTGTGAAACTTGCATTGTATTTTCTTTAATATGCTCAGGATATTCCTAATGAAAAGTAAAACAAACTGAAGATCCTATATACCAAGGATGTGATTATTGGCCTGTAATTTTGACACTTCTCTGAATTTTTTTTAAATCCTAATTTTTAATTATGCATATACTACATATATACATTCCTTCCTGAAAGATTGCATCTATTTCCTTTTCTTTGCTGAATTCTGAGTCTTAGTTTTTCAAATAATGCCTGTCTTTCCTTTGCTACAGAGAGAGCAGAAGGGGGCCAGGGAGAGCAGCAGTCTCCAAGTGGAAACTGGACCAGCCCTCAGCTCCCTTCAAGAGCACAGTCTGTGAGGTCACCTACACCTTATAAAAAACAGCTTAATGAGGAACTCCAGCGGCGATCTTCAACAGTGTTAGGTAAGACAGTGTTCTTATTTCATTCCTCTCTGTGTATTAGATTTTCTGCAGTCATCGTTTCCCAGATTGTTTACTGACTAACTTTTGTGCTGCTTGGAATAGTCAGGTATGCTTCAGGATCAATGAAACTGTTGCCTAGATAGTGAAAGAAATTGTAGATACCTAAAAACATTTCTTAAACATTTTATTAAACTTTAATTTAGGCTGGGCAGAAATCTCTTAACTGTTTTTTGATTAATTCCTTGCTTGGGTTTCAGCAGAGAACAGTTTGCAACAGCCGCAGGAGAACACAGGTTAGTTTCAGCTTTGTGAATGAATCCTGCCTCTGTTCGTGGGATGGCTAGTGTACTGTGATGTGCATGCCCCTGGCTGCAGAACTCTGTCAACTCCATTAATGGGCTGCACGGGCTCTTGGCCTTCTGTCCTCGTTGGGGTGCAAGCTGTCAGTGTGGCTGGATAAGCTGAGCTCCTCTTGCCTGTATGTTCTCCATCTCCTTCATTTTCATGCTCTTCCAATGAATATAGGCTGGGGATCAGTGCCTGAGTTGAGAAGCTAAAGTGAGTTGTTTTATTTCTGTTGGATTATTAGACTTGGTGAAATGGTTTGCCCAACTCAAGGTGATAGAAGAAAGGCAATGAGAGGTGCATAATAGAGGGGGAAGTGTGCAGCATTGGAAATCAAGTGTTACTGAACATTAGATTAGTTCCTTGTCTTGTCTGGCCAGCCTTCTCCATGAGACCCTCGAGTGAAAAACAGGCAGGTGTAGGTAGTGGTGGTTGGCAGGAGGATATTTTACTGCTAGGTGAGACTTGGTTTAGAACCACCTTCTGGTGGGTCAGAAGGAGACGAAACCAAGCAGAAGAGTGTCTCTCTCAGGACTGGAACAGAGCTGGTTGCCTCACCTCACAGGTTTCCAGGGCAGTGAGCTGCAGTCTGGGTACGGCAGCCGTTTGGAAGGAAGAATCAGAAGGTGGGAAGGGGGAGAGGGAGAATGGAGCTCTCCTTTTACTTCAAGGAATGTAAGGAAGAGACTATTCCCGCTTTAACGTTTAACCTCAGTAAACTCTCCTTAGCTCTTGAACCTGACCATGGCAATACTCTTATTTTGTTGAGGGAACTCTTCTGACACCTAGGCTGAATTAAGCATACGACGTCTTCATTTGTAAAACTGAGGAGCTGGACTAGAATCTAACCTTTAGGGGTTACAAACTGACAGCCTACTAAATCTTGCCTTGGTGTTTTGATAAACTTGAATTTAAATATCAGTAGGTGGAGCTTGTAATGTCTAGTTTGTGCAGTCCCCACCATTCCTTATTGTCCTCTATCAGGTGCACTTGATTCTTTTATTCTTCCTTAGCTGCTAGAGGCTCAGACATCTCGGACTGTTTGACCAGTCAAGTTCCTTTTCCTATTAATTCCACAATTAATTCCACAATTTACTAGCTCTATGACCTTAGGAAAATCATTTAATTTTTTAATACCTGTTTTAGAGGAGACACAGCTAAGATTGTTTGCCTCATGGCAGAGTGCTAGACCAGATTTTCTCTCAGGGCTCTTTCATCTTTATTTGAGATCTCTGATTCTGTTGATTTCAGGAACAGACTTGCTGTTCCTTTTCTGATGCACAATGCTGTTAGTACTCTCTTATACTCCTAACTGGCTAAATTCAAGGGGCTTCACAATTAATTGTTTGTTGCCTCTGCATGGGAGCACAACCATAACCATTCTAACAGCTTCATCTGTCTTTTTCAACTAATAAATGCTGGAGAGTTGCTTTATATTGTGACACTAAAAGAAAAAATTGGTCATTCTAATACTCATACACTTTTTTTCAAGAATCTTTTAAAAAATGTATTGATTTTAGAGAGAGAATGAGAAAGAGAGAGAAAGAAACATCTGTTTGCCGTTCCACCCATTTATGCATTCATTGGTTGATTCTTGTATATGCCCTGACTGGGAATTGAACCCACAACTTTGGCATATCGGGCTGACACTCTAACCAACTGAGCTACCTGTCCCGGGCTAATACTCATACATTTTTATTCTAGTAATAGCACAGGCATCTACTGAAATTAGAACATTACTGTTTATAGAAAGATAAGTGCTGTTTAGGAAATTATTTCTGTAGTTAAAGTATTTAGGAAAGTTCCTCGTCAATTTGGATTTATATACCAACCTCTCATGGTGTTTTGTAATCCTTTTTTTCCCACCGAACCAAAACAAAGCAACCTAAAACAAATCAAGCAAATAAGTGAGTTAAAGAAGGAGGCCGGAGGGCGGAGGTGTATTTTCCATCTTGCTTCACTGTAAATTATTAGGTTAATGAGTTTTTGTTTTTTTAAAAATATATCTTTATTGATTTCTGAGGGAGGAAAGGAGAGGGAGAGAGATAGAAACATCAATGATGAGAGAGTCATTGATCGGCTGCCTCCTGCACGCCCCTGACTGGGGATTGAGCCCACAACCCAGGCATGTGCCCTGACTGGGAATTGAACTCTGATCGCCTGGATCCTAGGTCGATGTGCAACTGCTGAGCCACGCCTGGCTGGACTAGGTTAATGAGTTTAAACCAATAGGCATGCTCATTCTTTTCTTCAAGGCACCCCCATTTCATCCTAGGCTTTGTAACTGCCAGAGCCTGGAATAGGTGGAAACCTCAGTGGTGGTCTTGCTCTAAAATAAAGAAATAATATATATAACAGCTTACGTGGACACATCCCATTGTGGGCACAAAGCTGGAATTGGAATTTGGTTACTGATAGCACTGTCTTTAATAGTGCTCTTTTAAGCGTAAGTGGTCCCTTCTAGTTTGGAGCTGTGGAGGAGGGGAGGAAGCAGGAAGGATGGCATTGAGTTCTAGCAGTTCTTTGGCAGTCTTCATCTGCTTGGACATTGGTGAAGGAAAGCCTGCGGGTCAATGACTGTCCTGAATGTTCTGAAGTCTGACTCTTTGTGAACTGGGCTGTTAAATTCCTTTCTGATCATCTGCCACCCAAGACTTTGGGTACTTGGTCTGCAGATTGAACTGAACTGCTCAGCCCTGTTGCTGTTTAACTAAAAGACTAAGTTAGGTTAACCCACTGGGATTGCTTTTTCTTCTGCTAAATTTCTAGCAGGTGTTTATTATGGCTTGGGACCAAAGGGCCCAAGAAATCACTAATAAATTTTGGGCCATTTAAGCAATCCCCCCATCCCAGGCCTCAAAACCGTCTCTTTGAATACCTCTTACCTTTATAAAGACTAGTTTTAACTCTCAATCCAAATCACTGGCTGTGAGAACGTAAGTATATGCTAACAATAAGAGGCACCGTGCTTCGCTTATATACCTTGTTTTGCATAGATACTGAAGACTATTAACAAGGTTCTCTTTATTTTTTGGTAAATCTGATTCAGAAACAAGAAGGAAAGCAGAACCTACCTTTGGAGGTCATGATCCTCGTACAGCTGTTCAGCTTCGAAGCCTCAGCACAGTATTAAAACGCCTCAAGGAAATCATGGAGGGGAAAAGCCAGGTACGGTCCAAGGGCTTTAGAAGATTACTTACTAAGCCCTTATATGGAGTTAATGTCATACTCACTGAAAATGTCATAGTGTCCTTGAAAGGAAGTTCAGTTAGTATTTCCTCCACCCATGAACACTATATTTTTACACATAGGTACTTAATTTTAATTTATCATTTTCCCCCTTTTATGGTTATATATGTTTTTTATGTTCTGTTTAAGAAGTGTTTACCTAGCCCAAGGTCAATAAATATTCTCCCATGATTTCTTCAAGAAGTTTATTATTTGTGGGAAGTTTAGAGGTCAAGCTTCATTTTTTTTTCATGGTTGTCCAGTGGGACTCAGCACCATGTTTGTTTGTTCTTTAAAACATCATCTTTCACTGATTGCATTATAAATCTTGTAAGTCCATATATATGTGTGAGGGTGGGCGAGGGCTCTCTTTTCTGCTCCAGAGCTCCAGTTTTTTCAGAGTATTCAACTAATACTCTGTCTAAAATTATTGTAGCTTTAGAATAAGTCTTGACGGCTGGTCACGTAAGTCCTTCAGTTTTGTTCTTCAGGATTGTCTTGGGCATTTTGGCTCTTTCTATTCCCAAATGAATTTTAGAAATAGTTTGTCAATTTCTGCAAAAGAAACTCTGTAAGATTTTGATTAGCATTGCATTTGCCATTGCATCTTCATCAGTATTTTCAAGGAGCCTTCACATATTTTTATTCTTACAGGATAGTGACCTGAAGCAGTACTGGATGCCAGATAGCCAATGTAAGGAGTGCTATGACTGTAGTGAGAAGTTTACAACCTTTCGGCGCAGACACCATTGCCGACTGTGTGGGCAGATTTTCTGCAGTCGCTGCTGTAATCAAGAAATCCCAGGAAAATTTATGGGCTATACAGGTAAATGCATTTTATTGACAGTTTTACAATTTTTAAACGTCAGAAGTATAAAATAGTTATAATACAGACTGATGTTTAGCCGGTTTTTATTTTGGGTTTTATGTATGAGCCATGGAGGACAGGAGGTAAGGGAGACACAACTTTGCTTTTAAGGACTTTATAGTCAAATAACAAAATAGATCAGGAGGTTCGTAAATAAGTAGAGTAACAGTGTATCGTAGATGCTCTCAAAAAGCCCTAGGGGCATTCACATTTATTACACAAGGTGGGTAGAGTGGGTTACCAGTTTATATTACTATGAGAGTGTTCATTTTACAAAATACAGATCTTCCTTGAGTATAGGACACTTGCTTTAACAAATTGCATCTCTCATATTCTTACATAAATTTTAGCAATATAGATGTTTTAATTATTTGTTGAGGCAGAAAAACTATACAGTGGTGTGTGGATTAATACAGTGACTTACTTGAGAGTAGAAGGCGGGTAGAAGGTACCCAAATGGAAACACACTAAGCATCTCTCATGTTATTTTTATTTTCATGCAGATTTTCCTTTTGGCCTTATTTGCTGCTTTTTTCACCTAAACTGCTACTGAGTTTAGACCTGAATTATCTTTCATCCAGGTTATGGCTACAGCCTTTGAAAAGATTTTTTTACCATTAGTTTTTTTCTACCTGTAATTCATTTTCCATACTCTAGTTGGTATTCTTAATTAAATGTAGTGCTAATTGGATCATGTCAGGGTATTTCCCTGCCTAAAACACTTGCAGAGCTCCCATTATCCTTAGGGTAAAATCCCGTCTTCTTAATATGGTTTGTGTGTTAGTTTCCTAGGGCTGCTATAACAAAATATTACAAACTAAGCAAACTGTTAATTTTGCTTAAAACCCATGCATAATTTAATACAACTGAGTACTATATAATAGTAGTCTAAAATGAAAAAGTAAAACGAAACAAATAAATTATACTTGGTAGTAATTATTGTAAAAACAGTACAGTTGACTGTAAGAAATCTTTTTATTTCATCACATCAATTTTCTAATGTTAATGCTAAAGAATTTAAGGTTGAATTATTAAATAACATTACTTATAAAGTTTAATTATCTTATCTCCTTTTTAGTGTACTAAAATTTTATAGAATCATACAAACAATTGTTAAAGCAAAACAGAATAGAAATGAAAACATATTTGGGCAGGACTGGATCCTAAATGAAATTACAATATTTAAAACTATTAAATAATCTAGTTGCTTGTCCTCCCAAGAATATTTCCGTTCTTTCACTATAAGAATTTTCTTAACAATTCCTCCCCCTACCTCCTTTTTTCATATTATTTGTCAGCCTATTTTCTATTAGTTTGTTTTTAAAATGATGCCCCCTCGTGGAGGCTTCTAGGGCTTCACAGTGGAGACCCAAATAACGTTTTTCTTGCTTTTTGTCTGGGGAAAATATGTTGTTTCCACTTATGTTGGTTTATTTACTGTATTTAAATTTTGTTTTCTTGAACCTTCTGTCCCTTATTTTACTTTTAGAACCTTTGAAAACATTCTTTTAATCAGAATTTTCTATTTAGTATTATTGAGTGATATTTTCTTAACTTACAAATATTTGAGGTAATGTATACTTGAATGAATTTATCATAATGATGGTTTTTAAAGTATATAACTGAGCTAATAAAATTATTTCACTTTTAAAAAATGTATTTTTGGTAGTCCTTGTTTGAAGACATTTCCTTTTTATTAGATTAACTATTAACCCAAAGATTTAATACATCTGTTAAGTAATATATTATTGTTATCTCTTTCTTACTTTTCCCCCTAGGGGACCTCCGAGCTTGTACATACTGTAGAAAAATAGCCTTAAGTTATGCTCATTCCACGGACAGCAATTCCATTGGGGAAGACTTGAACGCTCTTTCAGATTCTGCTTCCTCGTTGTCTGTACTTGATCCCAGTGAGCCCCGAACACCTGTTGGGAGTAGAAAAGCCAGTCGCAACATATTTTTAGAGGATGATTTTGCCTGGCAAAGGTACTGTCACATATAATTTTATATTTGGGAAATACTGATAGTCTTGTGCCCTATGAGTGCTTTTAGTTAACATTTACCTTCTTTGAATTGTTTCCTGCACATTCCCCATTTTCTCTTTTTTGTTTGGCTTGCCTCCAGAAAGATCACAGAGGATCTTTATGGACAGTGATTATGTTGACCAATTAAAATGTAAGCTCTACAAGAGGAGAGACTTTGTATCTTTTTCATTCACTGTCCTGTCCTTGGCACCAAGAACAGTATGTGACCTATATATGATTTTGATAATATTTGTTGAATAGACAATAGAATTTCTAATGTAGCCTTCTTATGAGAATACTCATAAGATTTGTATTCATAATATTTACAAATGAAATTAGATTCTTTTCCTTCCTAGGGAACAGTTCATGTTTTTCCCTATGTGTAAATATGCTATACTGCCTGGTAGTGGAGGATATTGCCAACTTTTTCTTGGAAGTTACCTGGAATTGTTTGAATTAGAATGCTAGATTCATCAGTTTCTGATTGTTTTCTTTAGCTAAATTGTTTTCTTATACGTAATACCAATCTGGCCATGTTAAAGAACTTAGAATTTTAACTAATATCTTTCTGATTAATTTTTATTATACTGATTACCCCTTAAGGGAGTGAAGAATTAGTATGCAATCAGTGAATTTAAACAGAGGTCAGTATGAATGAATTATGGCTACATTCCATATATATGAATTTCAGGGACATAATGTAAAGCAGAAAAGAAAGTCATTTATATCCAGTGATGATTCTATTTACATAGCGTTCAAAAATATACAGAATGAGCACACTGTCCAGGGATACAAATACGGTTAACTTAAAGAAAAGGAAGAGTGATAAATATAAAATTTACAGTGGTAGTTTCATTGAAGGCAGGGAGGGGGATGGTATTGGGTAGGAGAACACAAGCACTTGAAAGTCAGTGATAATGTTCTCTTAAATTCCTCAGTGCTGCACTAGTGTTTGTGGCATCATGATTCTTTATGTGTTACATGTGTTTTATAAAATTTAAAGATCAGTTCTACATTTATTAAAACAAAGCATAGGGGTTCTTTAGTTCTTGCTTACTTTAGTTATAATACCTTTCAGTTGTACCCGACCCTGTTATATGAGCCCAGAATTGGCAATGTGATTTAATAAAAAAACCAGGTTTGAAAGCATCCTAAGATATATAGAATAGCTGTCAAAGGTGGAATAGTTTTAGGTTTTGTGCTAATTGGTTAATGCTCACTCTTTTTTAGTCATCATATTTCTGCAGTAGGCACTACTTTCTCCTCTTGACAGATATAGATGCTGAGATTCAGAGAGATTAAGCATTGTACCCAAGGTCACACAGCTAGTAAGAGATAGAGCCTGCACTTGGACCTAGGTTTGTCTGACTCTGCAGTACTATTCTATTGGATAATGGGGACTGAGAATGAAGTATTTGAGCTCAGGATTTCCCCCCTAAGCTACTTCAGTATTGTATTATTCATGTGAGAAGAGTTCTGTAAGTACCCATCTAACCAATTTAGTATTTTAATGACATTCCATGTACTTAATAAACTCTATTATCAGTCTTTTGGCATTTGATATACTTAAGATAAAAACCATACTGTTTCCACCTTAATTAAAGGAAGGAAACAACAAAAACAACAACAAAATGACCCATATTCTCATTATTACAGGGGGAAATAATCTGCTTTTCAATGTTAAAGCATTTCATTGAAATTGGATTTGTTTGTTACTGTTCCAAATCATCTCAAGTTTTTTTTTTTCTTTTTTCTTTATAGTTTGATTCATCCAGACTCCTCAAATACTTCTCTTTCAACAAGACTTGTATCTGTGCAAGAGGATGCTGGGAAATCTCCTGCTCGAAATAGGTATACTCCTAAATGGAAACACTATATTCTGTGTGGTTTTCCTTCTTTTCATAGTAATGAGAAGAAGGAACAGATAAAAATGGGTGGGATTGATTGTTATACACTTTTTTACCTCTAAAATCTGAAGTAAACTATCATTTCCCTTTTACTAGTCAGCTCTCACTTGTAGTGTCTGAGTGGCCTTTTTTCACTATTCCACTGACTTCAGATCTTGGAACCTGTACCCTCTTAGTTTAGCAGATGAACTTAAATTTAATCAAGTATTAAATTTATTTTATTTTTTTATATATCTTTACTGACTTCAGGGAGAGGGCAGCAGAGGGAGAGATAGGAACACCAATGATGAGAGAGTCATTGGGGATCAAGCCCGCAACCCGGGCATGTGCCCTGACCGGGAATCGAACCTCGATCTCCTGGATCCTAGGTCGATGCTCAACTGCTGAGCCACGCCCGGCCTGGCTCAAGTATTAAATTTAATAGGGGAGTTTAGGAGGATTACAGGATGTGAATTATATTTTGAAAGGAGCACTCTGGCTGCTCTGTTGAATAGATTATAGGACCTGCGAGTAGGAGCAGGGAGACCACTTATAAAACTGGTGCAATAATCCAGGCAAGAGAATTGACTCAGGTCTGAGCAGAAGTGGGGGTGAATGATCAGATTCTAGGTATATTTTGATTGTAGTGCTTACAAGATTTGCTAAACAATTGAGGTAAAAGATGACTCAGGTTTTTGGCCTGAGTGGTTGGAAGGATGCAATTGTCATTTATCGAGATGGGGAATACTGGGAGGAACAGTTTCATTTTAGTCATGTTGAATTTGAGATACGTTCTAGACATCCAAGTGAGATGTCAGTAGACAGATATACAAGTCTGGAGTTTAGGGGAGAGGTATAAGCTGGACATATAAAACTTGGGTGTTGTCATCATATGGATGGTATTTAAAACTATGAACCAGGATGGAGATCATCAAAAGAGTGAGTGTGGAGAGTGAGGAAATGAGGACCAAGGACTTTATGTCTAGGGTGGGGACATAAAGAGGAACCAGAAAAGGGGCCCGAGAAGGAGAAGAAGTGATGAGGTGAGAGGAAACCCTGGAAAGTGTGTTCTCTTAGTAGCTAAGTGAAGGCAGTTTTTCAAGGGAGGGAATTTCCTGCTGATATGTCAGGTAAGATGAGGAGTGAAATCTGACTGTTGGATTTAACAGCAATGTTGCTAACCTTGACAGGCAGTTCCGTGGGTCCTTCGGGGTTCAGGAGAGTTTGGAAGGAGAACTGGAAAGAGGCGTTTTGATGTAGTGAAGGAGGGAGATGCAGAGGGATGTGGAGCTCGTGTGAAGCTGATGATGAGGGATGCTAAGAATTGATGAGTCTTTAGGAAAGATGTAATTTAGTCAGTGAATATGAACTTTAAGTAAAATTTGTCAGCATTCTTACTACTAGGCTACTTATTAGAATATTTGACAACAAAATTGACTAACTTTCTTGTATTCTTGTTGCCACTATATCAGAATAATGTGTAGGTATGGTTAGAATGTTAGAGAGGCTGGTTGCCTGGGTAATGCACACATTGGAAAAGGGATTTTAATTAGTTAAATAAGACATAGTGGCAACTACTCACTAAAAAAAAGCCTAGAAATGAATAACTGATTATCTTTAAAATCTTGCTTATATACTTTTATTTAATATCAGTGGTTTCTTATTAACTATTAAAATGATTTTTGCTAAACATGTTACAAACCTATGCATAATTTTAAAAATTATATTAAGAGTATTTTTATCTTCATGTTGGTTCTAGTGAGACCTGGTTTTGAATGGCAGCCCTGTTATTTATTAGCTGAGTCACCTTAGATAAATTACTTACTCTCTGATTTATCTGTAGAATGGATCTAGTAGTATCTACTTCATAGGATGCTATGAGGATTAAATGAGGGAAGATACATATATTGCTCTACTGAATGAGTATATAGTGTCTACTACATCATTGATGCATCTGCCATTTATTCTTTATATGGGTGCTAAACTTGGGTTTCATTTTCTTCTAGGTAAAAGCTAACTAAATTTCTAGCTAAATTTTTTTAATAAATAAAAGCTTGCTCAATGCTATTGATATTCCACTTACAAGTCATTTATTTGGTAACTTTGCCAAGAAGCAAAATTAAGGATATTATGTAAGTACTCATACAACAAGCGAGGAAACATATTTTCACTATCCTTTTATTGATCAAATTCAAAAAGTAATAATAACTGAGGACAGTATTTTTAATATATAGGTCTAATGAGAAGAAAGGAATTTGTTTTGGGGGAATAACATTATGTTTAGTTGTGGTTCAAAGTTTGTGTTTCCTGTCATTAGAACATTGGAAATGTTTAAATAAAAAGAACATTCTAATTTCACTGGTTATGCAAAAACTATTTGGCCTATGGGCCATGCTTTCCTGTTCCTGATCTGCAAGATTATTTCTGCATTTAGACTGATTCTTTATATGTCAGTTAAATAAAAATACTAATTTTCAGCATTTTAAAAAGAAGAGTTTATATATCTACTTCCTTTGAAATATTACTGATATATGAGTTACTTCTATAACTGTTTTCCTGTAATCTTGCCATAATGACTTTCTTTTAAACTCATTTTGAAATAATTTTAGACTAACATAGAAGTTGAAAATATAGCACAGAGAATTTCTGGATGCTCTTCGTCCAGTCTCCCCCAGTGATAACATCATGTATAACCATCATAACTACTTTTAAAAGTACCCTTAACATTGGCAAATAAGCATTTATTTAAAAACGAATTTTCACTGTAATTCTACTTATTGATGATGAATTTACAACTGTGTTTTCACTTTTTGTTTTTATTTCCAGATCATCCAGCATTACTAACCTGTCACTGGATCGATCTGGTTCTCCCATGGTACCTTCATATGAGACGTCTGTCAGCCCCCAGGCTAACCGACCTTATGTGAGGACAGAGACCAGCGAGGATGAGCGCAAGATCCTTCTGGTACTGGCCCAGTGTCTTCAACCCACAGAGATAAAGAATGTTTATCTCTCTGATTTTTCTTTCTTAAAGAAACATACAAATGAAATAGCCAGTTAGCGTATAAATTACATAGAAGAAATAATTAGCTTAAGTGTTTATTAGGATCACATGGGAAATTGGTCAAGCATTCCATGTGCATATACTACACTAATATTTTCTTGACCCCTTTCATCTGGCAAAATCAGAATTCAGGTGCCTACCTAATAAGAGAGCTTAACTTTTAGTTAGGTCCCAGATTGCTGTTAAATCTTTAAAACATGTTTCTCATACACATGGAATGCCTTTCAGACATTTAATACTACATGTTTATATGAGATAATAATCAGTTGTTGATTGAATTTATCTATGTGTAAAATACTATGTTCAGTCCTAAGAGTGACTCAAAGAAATGGAAGATATGGCTTCTGTCCTCAAGCTCGCAGTTCAGAGGATAGATATGAGGTCGATGGGCAGGTCCTTAATAGTAAAAGAAGTAATACTTTAATTATAAAAAATAGATCATTAGTAGTGAGGGAGTTAGGAAAGACTAACTAAAACCGAAAGGCTTGGACTGGACCATGAAGGGTGGAGTGGATTTGGGTAGGCACTGAGGAAAGCAGACCTTATTTAAAGGTGTGAGGAAAGGTATAGAGGTGAGAATAAGTGTGGCATTTTTCATGGATTGAAGTAGGATTTATTTATTTATTTTAAAATACATCTTTATTGATTTCAGAGAGAGGAAGGGAGAGGGGGAGAGAGCGATAGAAACATCAATGATGAGAGTTGTCGTTGGTCAGCTGCCTCCTGCACGCCCCCAAGGGGATCGAGCCCGCAACCCCAGCATGTGCCCTGACAGGGAATCAAACCTCGATCTCCTGGATTCTAGGTCGATGCTCAACCTCTGAGCCATGCCCAGCCAGGCTGAAGTAGGATTTATTGATTGGGAAAGGTTGGGAGAGAGATTAAGTTGGAGTCTGTGAACAATGAGATTGGAAAGTTATTTGGGGCTAACTGGTAGAAGGTGATTTGAACCTAAAGGCGCTGAGCGACGTTGGAAGTGTTTTTGAGAAGGGAGTAATTCATTAAAGGCCTTTCTTTAGGAAAATTCACCTGTCAGTTGGGCATAGTGAGAATGGTGAGAATCTGGTGAAGGCTACTAGAGACCTTTACTGTAGATTAGTGTTATTGACTGTTTGGTCCCTCTCCTTTGCCCTATCTCAGAGGAGTGTAAAATTTTGTGTTTAGATAACTAGGAGACTGATAATATGTGCTGTCGACGGCAAAAAGTTATTTGGCATAGTTGGTTTTTTTGGGAGTAGGAAGGTGGGTGTAGTAGTTGTGGTTTTCAAGAGAAAAAGTTATGTTTGGAATTAGATGAGCTGACTTTAAGCTGGTCCCCATGCAGGTATCATTTTTATTGTGTAAGTTAGCTATACAAAGACATCTGAATCAAGTTTCTTCTTATTAATCTAAAAATCACAAGAAAGAATCTGAAAAGGTATATAGCATCCTACTCTGGAGTAATTACTTGCTTGTAATGTGACTTCAGGACAGCGTTCAATTAAAGGACCTGTGGAAAAAAATCTGCCATCACAGTAGTGGAATGGAGTTTCAGGATCACCGCTACTGGCTGAGAACACATCCTAACTGCATTGTAGGGAAGGAATTAGTCAACTGGCTCATCCGTAATGGACATATTACTACGAGGTAATGTGATCTTAAGAAAGACAGACTTTTTGATATTATTTATTAACTTATTTTTAATGAGGGCACATTGTTGTACATATAAAGGGAGCAATGTTCTTTGTGAGTAGCTTTTGTTTTCTGCATTTGGTGTGTGGGGTGCTAATTAGTCAACACTCCTCCCTTCTGGGTTATAACCTGTAGAGAATAGATGCAAGGAGCCAATTGGGGTCACAATTTACCTAATTGATTAAAAGCAGAAGTGTGCATTAATTCCCAAAACAGAGCTCTTTAGTTAAGCAGGGGTTTTTTTTGTTTTGTTTTTTTGTTTTAAATACGTCTTTATTGATTTCAGAGAGAGGAAGGGAGAGGGGAAGAGAGAGAGAAACATCAATGATGAGTCATTGATCGGCTGCCTTCACACCCCCCTGGGGATCGAGTCCACAACCCAGGCTTGTGCCCTGACCAGGAATCGAACTGGGATCTCCTGTATCCTAGGTCGATGCTCAAGCGCTGAGCCATGCCGGATGGGCTGAGCAGGATTTTTTATAAATCATTTGTAAAAAAGAAACAGACAGGTCCTGTTGCCTTTCAAGTTATGTTCCTTAGCTTTTCTACTTGCTTGGATTAGCTCCTTTTCCTGTCATGGGAAGAAACAAGTATGTAGGAAGAGAGAGAAGCAGTGTTAAAAAGTGATGCTCTGGGTTCCAGTTTTGGTTATATCTCTTTTTGCTGTGTGCTTTTAGACAAGTTATTCAGTCTCATTGAGACTAGACTTCTCAGTTCTAATATGAGGAAAATACACATTTTTGTGAAGAAGCCATGAGGACGAAATGAAATAATATGGTTAAAGTGCTTTATAAATTGTGAAATGCCACATAAATGCAATGTGTTAAGTGTCTAAGTAGGTACAAAATGCATATACATAATGCATTTATATCTGTAATATTTGGTATTGTTTTCTCATCAAGACTGTAAGCTCCTTGAGGGCAGGAATTCTGCTATTCTCAATATTTTTTTACTGCGCTTATAAGTACAGGGATATGCATGCATTGAGTACTTCAAAAATGCTGGAATTAAATTACGTTTTGTTAGGACTGCCTTACCAGTAGGTTTTCCTATTCTATGGTACCTAGAAAACTTTTAATTTAGCTTTAAGTGTCTCTTGTTTTATCCCTCACCTATCCAAGGACCATTTGAAATTCCAACTCTGATGGGGATGGAAAAAATTCAGTTTATGTCTCATCTCATACCTGTAAAATTATTCTGACTTTTTTTTTTTTTAAATTTTATTTTTGTTTAAAAGATAACAGATGTCCCTTTTTCTCCCCAATGACCCGTTCCACCCCATCCCTTCCCGGACCTCCCCAGTCCCTCTCCCCACCATTGTCCATGTCCTTGGGTTGTGCATATATGCATATAAGTGCTTTGGTGACTCTCTCCCCCTCCACCCACCCGCCGTCCTCCATCCCTCTGATATTCGTCAGTCTCGTCTATGCTTCCATGTCATTGAATCTATTCTGTTCATCAGTTTATTAAGTTCGTTAGATTCCATGTATAAGCGAGATCATGTGATACTTGTCTTTCGCTGCCTGGCTTATTTCACTTAGCATAATATTCTCTAGGTTCGTCCATACTGTCCCTGACTGACTTTTAAAAGTTTTTGTTGTTGGTCTTGATGCAGGGCGCAAGCTATAGCAATTGGACAAGCAATGGTTGACGGGCGCTGGCTGGATTGTGTCAGTCATCATGATCAGATCTTCAGGGATGAGTATGCGCTGTACAGACCACTGCAGGTAGTTTCTGTGTTACAATAATGGGAATATTGCTAGCTTGTGGTGTCTTTCTTTATCAGCGGGAATAAAAAGTAGTTGAATTACCCAAAGATACATTTCCCTAACATGTTTTGTGTGTGTGTGTGTATTTTATTATTCACCTTTTTCAATTACAGTTTATTCAATATTATTTTGTATTAGTTTCAGGTGTACAGCATAGTGGTTAGACAATCATATATTTTACAAAGTTTTCCTAGTATTTCTAGTACCCACTTAGCACCATACATAGTTGTTACAATATTATTGACTATATTTCCTATGCTGTACTTTACATCCTCATGACTATTTTGTAACTGCCAACCTGTACTTCTCAATCCCTTGCACACCTTTCACCATGTCCCCCAATCCATCCCTCCTCTGTGTATTTGTTAATGTTTAAAACAGAAATGATCTTAGGTCTAACATGTTTTTTCCTTGCTGTTTGAGGAAAGTTAAAACATTGTTTTTAGCCCTAGTTAGTTTGGCTTAGTGGTTAGCGTGTCGGCCAACAGACTGAACGGTCCAGGGTTGGAATCTGGCCCAGGGCATGTGCCTCAGTTGCAGGCTGAATTCCCGGCCCCGGTCGGCGCACGAGCGGGAGGCAACTAATCATTGTGTCTCTCTCCTGTCGATGTTTCTCTCTCTCTCTCCCCCCCTTCCACTCTCTCTGAAAAGCAATGGAAAAAATATCCTCCAGTGAGGATAAAAACACACACAAAAAAACACATTTATACTTAGTAGGTAGTGGTGATGTGATATAAAAAACCTATTGGAATCAAACAGTATTCAGTTGGCGTGGCTTTTCTTAGGCTTGACCTTGTAATGTTATAGTTGCTTGTCATTTATCTTCAGTGGTTTTCAGTTTTACTGTGTCTGTGCTTTTAGGACTAAGGGAGTATACATAACAAAGTGATTGAAAACATTTACTGTCACCATTGCAATAGGTATTGATGCATTAGTAGTATTAAATTGTACAGCAATGGTAAAACGATGAATATTCTTTTCTTTTACTTAGGAAGTGGGAATCATTTAAAGATAGAACTTTAAAAAAAGATATATTTTCACCCTGGCCGGGTAGGTCATTTGGTTAGGGCCTCATCCTGATACACCATTGTTGCGGGTTCCTTCCCCATTCAGGGCACATACAAGAATCAGCCATTGAATGTATAAATGGGTAGAACAGCAAATCGATGTTTCTCTCTCTCCCTTCCTCTCTCTCTAAAATCAATCAGTAAATAAAGAAATTTAAAAAAAGATATATTTTCACTTTTGGTTTATGTTAATTTGACATGTACTATTCAGTACATATGTCAAATTATATTTCATGTATATTAAAATTATAATTTTAAGAGTAGAATTGTCAGCATGATGTTTGTTTACAATTTAATTGCTGTTAACTTGCTTATTTTTTTATAAATTTATTCATTGCTTAGCTTTGTAATAATATCGGGCTAGAATTTATTTGCAGTGTGACAGCCTCAATGCTGCTGCTATTGAAGGCAGATTACTCAGCTCCTGTGTTGGTCCTTGCAGAGCACAGAGTTTTCCGAGACCCCTTCTCCGGACAGTGACTCAGTGAACTCTGTGGAAGGACACTCTGAGCCATCCTGGTTTAAGGACATAAAGTTTGATGACAGTGACACAGAACAGATAGCCGAAGAAGGTGACGATAATTTGACTAGTGAGTTTGACTTTCTGACATTTTAATTTTTATGACTCATTACTGTATATGTACGATAAAATGAATGTTTTCTTTGTCTAGTTGAAATGATCCTACTTTAAGATTTATGGTTCCAACTAAATGTAAACATCTGATAGCAATCCTTGTCCTAGATACAGTATTTTCTTAAGAAACCTACTTGTTAGGCTCCTGGCGTTTTTAGATTTTGCCATAGTCTCTAGTTTGCAGCAGCTTAAAAATAACTCTGAGCTAATATCACAGCAGACAACCTTCTCACCTCTTCTACGATATCAGACTTTCTGCAGAACCTCCAATACACTTCCTTTAAACAATTCACTTCATATTTAACTTGTTCAAATTGTATTAAGTCTACACAGAAGGACATGAAAATACTGTATCCATTTTGGTATTGCACATTGGGCTTGTATATTAAAAAAAACATCTTTCTCCTTTCCTCCAATACCCTGATGCAACCCATTTTTTGCTCCCCTCCTCTCCCTATATTTCTTTCCCCTCCCCAACACTAAAAGATTCTGCCAGTCCTAGCAAGCGCACCTCAGTCAGCAGTTTCCAGTCCACAGTGGACAGTGACTCAGCCGCTTCTATCAGCCTGAACGTGGAGCTGGACAACGTGAACTTCCATATCAAGAAGCCCTCCAAGTACCCACATGTGCCCCCTCACCCTGCTGACCAAAAAGGTAGGAGGTAGTCACCATCTGGAATCCAAACAGGCTGGAGAGCTGGGCCATAGATCTCATGCCAGCTGGTCCCTCTGACTTCCTCTGTCCCGTATGGCTGAGGGGATTTGGTGTGGGTTTTACTCCACCCTTTCTCATTTTTCCCACACCTCCTCCCCACCCCTTTTGGTTGATACCTTTTATTTCTTGTCTTCTCCCTCCGTACCACCCTACCCAGTTTAAAGGAACTACATCTGACTGCTCTTCCCTTAATGTGCAACTTCCAAGGTGGTCTTTCTTCGCATTTATAACATGGATGTTCTGCTCTGCGCATTTCTCTTTCTTCATTTAACATTTTAAAGCCTATCCGCTTCTGCTGTTACCCAGTAGCTTGTTTTCCTGAACCTTTCAGATGCTTGAACTAGATTCTGGGAAAGACATTCACATTTTCCAGAACTTCTTTCTACTATAATTTAAAATGCTTTTCACATATGCTATATTTATTAAAAAGTTTTCTTCTCTACAGAATGAATTCATTCTTCATTTTTAGCTGTCTTATTTGAGACTTTAGTCTACTAACTCAAAAATAATAATGGCCATATTCAAAAGAAATTTGGTATAAAAGGAAAAATAAGGGAAACTATTACTAAAATCTAACATAACAGTACGTAAGAAATGAAATGCTTTTAAAAAATGGGGGAAGAAGTTTACTCTTTTAGATGTAATTAAAAATGAATTTAAAGTTTAGTCCTAAGGTGGCATTATATAAAAGTAAATACATAAGTAAATAAAGAATTGTGGGATTTCATTATGTTATAGTAACCGAAAGTCATTATTATAAAGATGAAGCAATGTATTTCATGATTTTTCATGGAGTGTGAATTTTTAACAGCTCTCTAAAGCTGAACTGTTTCCTCAGATGAGAAATGCCTGCCTAATTCTTTGCTACTCCCTATTTTGAGCCTAAAAATATGACAAGAAAAGAGAAGCTTTTGAATTTAAACAACTGTGCTAAAATAAATAGAAACATTTACATTTCTACAACAAATTTCTCATAATTGTCAGTATTAACCATTATCATCAAGATGTGGTAAAATGGCATTGACTTACAGTAATGAAAAGCTATATCTTATTTAACAATAGACAGGGTGTGGGAAAAGAGGAGACTTGAGTAGCATTGACCATGAGTAAGATACTCATCTTTATGGGAGTTTTCAAAGCAGAAATTGGAAAATGGTGGAGAGCATTCAGGTGAGTATAAAAGGACAGTGAAGCAGACATGACACTGTGTGAGAATTAACTGTAGACTGTGCTACATGGAGTATGCCTTTGCGATACAAACTACAGATGTGGGTCAGAGGTGGGATCTGTCATGGCAGAGGCTGTCTGTTCTCTGGGCACATCTGTTGGCAATTTCGGCTTGCTGAAAGTAGAGTTCGAAATCCATTTGGCTGATGATTTCACCTCTTGGAAAGTTAAGAAGGTTTCGAAGATCATGAAGAGGTGACCTGTCATCATGGAAGTCATTGCAAAAGATGGATTGCTGAGCACAGGCAGACATTTGCTTTAGGAAACCTGACTTCCTAGTGTTGGGAGAGGACTGGAGCAGGAGGCTCCAACAATGGCATTTTTACAGTTCAACCTCAAATTGTGTCTCTAAGGAAAATGAAAGGGAAGCACCTGCAGTTGAAAAACCATCACGACTTCTGGAACCTCTCTGATCTCAACCCTTTAAAAAGATTGTCTACAAAAGCTGTACGAAGCGACCTTCATATGAGGATGAATCTGAAGGAGGAGTCAGCACTTAAAAAAAAGGGCAGGATAGCAGAAGTCCAGATTTACTGAAGGAGAGAGTGAATGCCAAGGATATCTTAGAAAAGGTTTTACAAATTTTTTTTTTTTACAAAAAAAAAAAAAGCCAATTATTTGGGGAAGTTGATAATATTAATTGAGCTTCCCCCTCCTCCCCCCATCAAGGTAATCTTATCAGAAAAGAACACACATGGTTAAGAGGAAAGGGAAGTTCAAGAAAATGAAGATACAGAGAATGTGGGGCTATTTTAAATAAGCCTGTTGCCAGGTTCAGGCGAACTATAAGCCAGATTATTGAAAGAATTTGGATGTGTGATCATGGGGCCATAGTTTATCTTTGAAGAATTGTGGAGAGTAGGAGCGAGCTTAGTTGACTATAGTGATAGATGAATTAAATTTCTTGTTTTTAAATGTGTCTTTATTGATTTCAGAGAGAGGAAGGGAGAGGGAGAGAGAGAGAGAAACATCACTGATGAGAGAGTCATTGATCAGCTAGCTGCCTCCTGCATGCCCCCAACTGGCAATCGAGCCCGCAGCCCGGGCATGTGCCCTGACCGGGAATCGAACAGCCATCTCCTGGATCATAGGTTGATGCTCAACCGCTGAGCCACGCCGACCAGGCAAATTCAATTTTTTTAAAAGATGGGTTTTTCAAGTGACATGGAAGTTGGCCAAAGTGTAGAAAAATGTAATGGACAGAATGTACTGTAGTATTTAGAAAAGGAATTGGTGGTGACTGGGCGCCCGCATTGGTTAACTAAAATAAGTCATTCTAGCCTGGCTGGATGGCTTGGTTGGAGCATTGTCCCGTACACCAAAAAAGTTGTGTGTTTGATTCCTGGTCAGGGCACATACCCAGGTTGCTGGTTCGATCCCTGGTCTGGGTGCTTACGGGAGGCAACCGATTGATGTTTCTCTCTCACATCAATGCTTCTCTCTCCCTCTCTCTCTAAAAATCAATTTAAAAAATGTATTCTTGTGTATTAAAAAAATAAATACAAAATAAAATAAGTCAGTCTGAAACAACCTTATTTCCGTGTTTTATGATGATATGAGATTGGTAGATCAGGAGCCTGATAGATACTGTTATCTTTGATATTAATGAGATATTTGATGGTCTCAATAGCTTTGTGGACAAAGAAGACCATTTTTCACTTGAAATATGTTAAAGAGGTACTTATTGGCAGTGGTCATATTTTCTTGTTACAAGCACAGGGTCTAGGGTCTCTATGAGTCTCTTTAAATAAAATACACAAAGATCTTGGTGTGTTTGGCAAATGTCAGAACCACTATTAATATAATTCATGGGTTTGTAGTTTGCTTAATGGTTGTACCAAATATTAAAAGAGTAATAATTTGATGTCAGCAGGAAGGGGATGCTTCTAGGTTATGCTTTTCTATGCATACTCAGTGTTCAACAGCTTTTTTGGTCAGCATTTGGAATGTTTTTCAGAGTTAAAAATCATTAAAACAGAAAGAATAGCTAGAATGTTGGATAGCAAGATTGGAATTTAAAGATCTTAAGCAGTAGACTGAGACTAACAAGATAAAATCTAACACAAACATAACATAATTAGGCTTGAAAAGTTTACTATTAATACTCTGGAGAGAGCCATTCTTAATAGTTCATGTAATGTTGACTTTAAGTACTTGAAGAACAGCTGAAAGTAATTGTATCTCTTTTGTATATGGCTGAAGGAAACACGAAGTTTGGTAGTTTGGAATAGTGAGCCTTTGCTGCTGTGCCCCAGAGTGTCCAGGTGGTGTCTTAGTCTCCACCTTGCAGGGTTGTTGAGGATCAATGGCTACGCTGGGTGAGAGCTTAGGGGACTTCTGAATTTGCTTTTAATTCTGAACCTGTGAAATGAAAAGTCGAGATCTAAAATTTTAAAAGAATTATAGGGGTGTAAGGCGTCCTTTAGCCTTCTCAGTAAGACTATAATAGAGGAGGTTCCAGCATCAGAAATAAGGTAATTATTATTGACCTCTTGAGTCATTTGCAACCTTGAGTCTATAATTTAAGGACTTTATCAATCCCTTAATAAATGTTTCTGGCTTTCACAGTTCTCTCCTTAGGTTTTAGCATACTGCCATGAATTATCTTTTTCTATTTCTCTTGTGAAGTTGAAATTCAATAATTGGTATTTTTTTGTATTGTAGTTAAGATAAACTCTGATTACCAGAAAGTAACGATCGTCAGAGCCATCCAGTAGTGAAAGAATAATAGACTTCTGCCTTTTTCATTCTGCTTAAAATACAAATGGGAATGGGTGGTTTTAATCTTTCCATTGAAGTTCAAGGTAATACTTATTAAACCTTTTCAGAATCGTCCTCTGTCTTCTAAGGCTGAGGAAATTTGGATTTATAAAATCAGTTGAAATATCTGCACTTAAAAATCTGCTCGTTTAAATCTTATGTGAGCAAACCCTCATTTTCAGAAACTTGTAAAACTGAGACAGTGTGATCTTCTGGTTTGATTACTTTTTCACTTGGTCTTGGGAGTTACACAATTAAAATGTAGTTTATTCTGCGTTGCAAGTAGGATTCTGAAGCATTCTTGGAAAGTTAATGAATAGAACCTGGAGAAGAAAGTGAAAATCATGGCTTCTGTTGGCCTATAGATCTAACTTCCCATTTGTAGGAAATCCTGGGTTACAGGAGCAAGTTAAACAGCAACATAAAGAAGCGATTGATCAAATCCAGAATGTGGGACGTTCCACAGGGCGTTTGGCCTGGGTTCTTTCAAAATTCAGTACCATGAAAAAGAAAAAAAGGTAGTGGGTCTGCTTTAGATTAAAAGAAAATGATGAGAATGCAATGTATGAGCCTTATTGGATCCAGGTTTGAGGGAAAAAATTATTAAAGCATTTTAGGGGCAGTTAGAAAAATTTGAATATGGACTAATTGGATATTAAGACACTGAAAATAATCTTAAATGTGTAAATGGTATTACAGCTATAGAGAAGAATGAATGCCCTTATTTTTTAAGAGATGCAAGCTGAAGTATTAGTGGTAAAGTGTATGATATGTGTAACTTCAAATGGTTGGGAAAGATGACCATACATAATATGTATAGAGAAGTCAGAGTTTGGCAAGTCGTTAATGATTACTGAATCTAGGTGGAGGGAATACAGGATTTTCTGAATGTTTGAAATTTTTTCATAATAAAATGGGGGAAATTCATCACTTCTGAATTTTCATATATGTGTAATATATGTTTCTTCATATACATATATATATAAGTTTTAGTATGAAGAGTAAAGCTTTTAAAGTCAATACATTATTTGAACAAATAGAAATTGGAACTATTCATTTCTGTGAGGGAAGTGTAGTAGTGAAGTAACATCTATTTTTACTTGTTTACATACTTCATTTTAATTGTATTTGGCATGGCACTCTTGAATTTTCTAAATAAAAATATTTTCTCTGCTTTCTTGTTTGAAGGATGAACATATTGACTTATAAACATTGACTTTTGAAGTCCATTTGTTTATAAATGAAATTTACTTGGAAAGAATTTTGTGGAGAACCTATACCTTAAAGCATCGATTTTCAACCCGTGTACCACAAGAATTTTTAAAACATGCAATACCTGACTGTTTAGTCAGGACACTGACCTCTTTTCCCTTGGATTGTCAAATAAGAAAATGACAATAGCCATTCAATGTGAATGGATTAAAATTATACCTATTCTTTTTATCAGATTGGCAAAAGATATATTTTTTGGTGTTGCGCAGAATTTTAGTAATTCATTTATGTGCCATGAGATGAAAATTGCTACCTTAAAGGACTTAAAATGCGTTGTGGTTTAATTTGCATGGTAGAAGGAAGCCCACTTGAGCTCTGCTTGGCCACAGACCCAGAGAAAAGTTCATGAGGAAGTAAAAAATAAGTTTCACTTGTAAGAAAAATATTTAATATTCTAAAAATTCTAAAGGAGCATATTTATATTGTGTTCAGCAGCTCTTGCAACCAACCATTTGGCAGTGTTTGGTTAGAAATTTCATAAAACACAAACTCTAATTAAAAAACTAAAAGAAATTCTGATGAGTTATATCTTATTTCCTGCCATTGGTACTTTTGTTAATTTATTTCATAGCTTATATCATGAAATCAAAAAAGCACCATGTATTGTTTTATTAAGTGGCTTCTTAACCCGCGAACTACCTTGTGTGTAGACAAAGTCATTATTTGTTAAATAATGCAGTTTTACATGAGAAAAATTATGTAACTTTGTCATGCAAATTACTGATTTCAATTTCCATAAACTGGTTCAGTTTTGATAAGGGAAAAATCTGTTGCAGATTATATCTGGCATTACTTTTCACAGTTCTGGTGAGTTATTAATTCAAGTGTATTAAGTTTAGTATGAAGTGTGTGAAACAAGTTTAAAGACACGTTTTAGCCTAATGCTTTCTTGAATTGGCCCGGGAGTGATGGGTTTAGTATGAGTAATACTTTGCATGTGGGTGTGTTCTCTATATAATTGTGCTAGCATGTCATAAGTCCCTCCTTTCCTTCCTTCTCTCTCCTGGTATGCAGAGTATCTGATTTCTGACAGTGGAGGACAACAGCTCTCAATAAGTGACGCCTTCATCAAAGGTAATTTTATCAAAAGCTGTACATGTAATGGTGTCTCTTTTGTTCATGAGGATATACTTGGGCCTAGCACACTGACTGATGCAGAGTAGGTACTGAAAATATATTTGATTATTTTAGTATCATCAGAACATAGTTTTTAATATGTGTAGTAACTTTGAGAATGTTGAAACTCAAGAATATATTCTTGGACTTGGTTTGAGAGGTTTCTGATCTGAAAAGTAATTCTTTAAAAGGCTTTTTTAATAGAATGTGAATTGTATTCTTTTAAAGGCATAAATAAATTATGCTTTCCTATAGCATGAATATAATATTAAGTGTTGATCTACACATTGATTGTCAAACTTGTCAAAAAGCCCAAGGCAGTATGGGCAGTACTGTTGAGGATGCTGCTTGTCCTGTAGAGTTGGGAAGGGAAGTAGGCAGAAGGGGGGAATAAAGAACTAACTCTGCTGATGAATTTTTGGGGGTCAAAAGGAAGTATAGATGAACACAAGCCTTTTCTTACGCCTTCCCTCCTTAGCTTACTGTGGGGTAAAGACGTCCTTCCTTAATTGGTTCATAGCATTTCACAGCTTCTGCCTCAGGTAATGGGAGGGTTTCAAATAAAAGAGAAAGTAGGGCAAGCTGATACAACGGAGGCCGCTTGCAGCTGATCTTTCAGTTTAGCAGGTTTTCTAAAATCCACCTCCAAGCATCTGGTTCAGCTAGAAGTTTATGGACCACCATTTACTTAATTGAAACATGTAGTTAGTCTTGCACCTCACCTGTCATGGACACCTGATCTGCAGCGTTGTCTGTGGGACTCTGGGTTGAAAGTTTGTTTGGTTTGCTTTAAGAGGGAAAGGATCAGAGAATTTTTGTAAGCATTTCCCACCTCTTTTTATTTAGTCACATTTCAACATTTATTTAGTAAGCATATGTTTTGTAAAGCATTTAATATTGTCTGTTAATTTTTCATCTTGATCCACTTTTATCCTTTTTAAAAATTTAAGGATTGTACAACATTTTAGATAAATTGTTATTTATTCTGTTTCAGTATTTTTTATAGTTAGTTTTGGGTCTGGCTTGTAAAAGTTTTGCTGAAGAGAAGGCCTTTGTTCCCATTGAACAGGAAGCATGGCCTAGGATTGTCCGAATGGGTTTTCTGTGTTGTACTGAGTGGGGTCAGCATGACAGAGCCGAGCTTTTCTCTGGAAAGTCCTGTCCCACACTCACATGCTGCTCCGTCACCATTCAGGTTTCTGTTGAATGTAGCTTTCAGTTTGAATTTTAGGGAAGTTTAACCCCCTCCTTTTAAAATGTCCCAAAACAAATAAAAGGATTGTAAAAACCTCATTTTATTTGCCTTTCAAAAGCTGTATTTAAAATTATTGGCTTGAGAGTCCTAGTTGCTTATGGAAATTCCCTTTTTCACAGTTCTGTCTCTGGTTTTAGCTGTTGCAAATATTGATGATCTAACAGATTTAATTCTTTTATTTTGTACTTATATATGTCTTTGCCTTTTTACACCAACAATTTGAATTGGCTAACTTAAAAATTTTAAAACAGTAAGTTGGCAGTCTCTAAACCTGTAAGTTGATGGTATAAAACATGACAGTGAAGTATAATTTCTTTCTTTACACTTTACTTAGAATCCTTATTTAATCGTCGCGTTGAGGAAAAATCCAAAGAGCTGCCGTTCACACCTCTGGGCTGGCACCATAACAACCTGGAGCTGCTGAGGGAGGAGAATGGAGAGAAACAGGCCATGGAGAGGTTGCTGTAAGGCAGTGAGCTTTTTCATTTTAATTTCCCACTTTAGTAATCTTCAGTGACTTGACAGGCATGTGTGTAGTTTTTTTTCTTTATAAAGTAAAAAATGAAATTTTTTATAAAAAGAGCCCTAAACTGCCCTTGTCTGTCCCCTCTGTAATTTATCTGTGAACATTTTTATCATATTAAAGGGGTTATCTCAATCAAAGATATTCATAATTTTATTTATGTGCAAATCATTAAGGTGCAGGAGTAATGAAAGAATAAAATTGACCAGGAAGACCTTACCTGTGAGCCTAATTTACATGCTTATTTCTTTTAGACTGCTTATTGCAGCTTCAGAATTATTGCCTCCGGCAGTATTAACTATGCTAACTTCTTTTTTGTAACATTTTTGTAGTTCAGCTAATCATAACCACATGATGGCACTACTCCAACAGTTGCTCCATAATGAGTCATTGTCACCATCTTGGAGGGACATCATTGTATCACTGGTCTGCCAGGTTGTTCAGACAGTCCGACCTGATGTAAAGAACCATGACGACGACATGGACATCCGTCAGTTTGTCCACATCAAAAAAGTGAGCTCTGCCAATGCTTTTCTAATGCCAGGGGCTGATGAAGAGGCCTGATGATCATTTGTCTCTTAACAGTGATCTAATGGTTGTTACTGGAGAAGTCCATGTGACGACTTCAGTGAGCTGGTTGTGTTCTGATTAAAGAATAATGCTTAGAACTTCATATTGTTAACATAAGGGGAATCATGTCCATATTTGAATTCATTGCATCATTTGGTATGCAGTATAATACCATAACTATGCTAATACATGCCTACACGACAATTTGTGGCGTGAACCACATGTAGTATTTTTTCTAGTTGGTTATAAAGCACATTTGGAAACCAAAATTAACCAGATGACTTTTTATTATGCCATTGGACTGATGTATTATAAGATTTAATTACATACTATTTCACACACAGCTGTGACAAAAAACATATGAGCTCCAAGATTTATCAGCTAAGCTGAAATGGGGGTCTTTTGAGGGGATGATCAGAGTGGGTTGTAAGCAAGAACATCTTCCAAAGCTGGCTCTCCTGGGTAAATGAGAGTCTCTTTATGTGTCCCGAGGCCTCTTTGGTAAATACTCAAATGCCACTTTCATCAGGCTTTTCGAGAGAACGCATTTGCTCTAGGAATTTTTTTACAACAAAGCAAAACAAGCAATACAAAACAAAATATTCGATCCAAATTGCCCTGAAAAGCATCACGGATAGTTGGTGAGCATTCCCTACTTTAATACCCCTTTTGTTTACAAAATCTTTCAATTTTTGGTGTCTTATTGCTAGCAAACAGCAGGTAATAAAATGCGCTCATCAAACATAAATAAACAAATAAGTAAATAAAAGGGGCAGTACCGTGAGGGGTGTAGGTAAGGAGGGGGAGGTATTTCTGTTTGCTGTGTTTGTTACTGATGCACTTAGAGGGCATGGAAGCCACTCAGAAAGTGAGAGGTGAATGGGAGAATGAGTTCGGTGTGGGATGAATTGGGAACCCAAACAAATATAGTTTCTGCCTTGTTTCTTCATTATGATGTGTCACCTATGAGAAGGCCTGTTCTCAGATTACTGTCACTATTCTGAGGAAAAGCAGTTGGTAATTGCTTTATTTAGATTATAATGGAGTCGCTATGTGTATTTATTACCAATGGTATTTAACTTGATCGTGGTTTTAATTGTTGAATGGCACCAATTTGTTCAGGCGAGTGGGTGTTTTAGAGTATCAGTTAGGTCTTAGTCATGCTAGGTGCCATTAATTCTTGGTGGAAAGGAAGAACTATATCCTCAAACTTTCTGTTCTGATTTTATTACAAAATAGATAAAATAAAAATTGGAAATTAATATATATCTGACTGGAATCTAAGGATGTATCATTGAATTTTATTGTTTTCTTGTTCCATCAGATCCCAGGTGGAAAGAAGTTTGATTCTGTGGTTGTCAATGGATTCGTTTGTACCAAGAATATTGCACATAAAAAGGTAATGTGATCCTGTTCAACAGTGAAGTTCAGCCAGCTATGACTTTGTGCCAAGCGAATAAGTGGCGGTACCCTAATCATGGGCAAAAAGGAGAATGGGTATTGAGGAGCAACTTAGCAGTGTCTGCCACAGAGGCAAAATTTTTGGAGGTTCAGAGAATGTCCCTGTTATCTTTCTCACCTTCTATCTCACCTTCAGGCCTGAGGCCACTTTCTAGTAGTAGCACAAAGGAGTGGGGTGAAATAACCTGGTATATTAAGGAAATGTAGAGATCTTAAGGTGTAAGATGGGAAAGGAGAGGAGGCTGGAGGAAGCAGGCTGAGGGCTTTGTAGCCCATTAAGCATCTTAAACTTTATTTTGAAGGTCACCGATTCTCAAATTGTAGTGTACATCAGGATCATGGGTGGACTTCGTTAAAAATGTAGATTCCTGTCTGACCGGCATGGCACAGTAGTTGAGCATCGAACTGTGAACCAGGAGGTCACAGGACGATTCCTGGTCAGACACATGCCTGGGATTGCGGGCTCGATCCCCAGTAGGGGGTGTGCAGCCTATCAATGACACTCTTTTCATTGATTTTTCTCTCCCTTCCTCTCTCTAAAATCAATAAAAACATATTTTAAAAAAATGTAGATTCCTAAGCCCCTCCCTGAAAAATTCTCCTTCAATGGGTTTAGGGGAGTGAGAGTGTGGGGCATAGGGGAAGGGTGGGGCTGCTTTTAAAGCAGGCACTCCAGGTGTTCCCAGTGTCATTTGTTGGGCCTTGCATTTTGAGAGCCCAGTGATGTATCATCGTGTTCTCAAACCTTGCTGTGCTTCGGAATCACTAAGGAATCTTACTGAAAATAGAGACACACTGACCCCACCTCTGGGGATACTGATTTGGTTACAGTGAGAGCTCAGGCAGATTTCTAGTCTGAGGGTCTAGATGGATAAGCCGCAGTCCTGTTTTCACTTTCTAAGCAGAGACTAATACTTTATTTTTTGTAAGGCATTAAGCCTCCTGAAAATTGTTAGTGACAATAGATAAATAAAAGTGTGCCTGGATTCGATATTATTTCATAGCAATGATCCAAAGTCAGTATTTCTACCTGAGTCTTACTGAAACAGTCCATTACCCGTTAAAGTAGTACTTTAAACCAAATTAAATGAACTTCTTCAAACTAAGAGGTAGATTTGTTGAGCTCTTCTCCAGAATTGAAAATTGTATGTGGGTGTGGTAGAAGCATGCATGGATGACTGTCTTGCCCCACTGACCATATTTAGAGATAGTCTTTACTTTGAAGTTGCTGAAAAAGCCCCAGCTGTAGTTCGCTAGCTGGTGAGTCACTGTTTTCAGGACCATTTGTCAGTTGATAAGCTTGGTCAGTCTGAAACCTCTATTGAAGCATTCAGGCTTTTGCCTGTCTTCAATTCATGGTTAGAGTACATTGTTTGGCTCTCTGCATCTGGGGATGCTTTAAGCGTGTTTTTTTTTAAACTTCTTGTTACTCAATTGGCTTGCCAGTATGTGACTGCTTGGACATGTATTCTATTAGAAGTATATTCAGGAGGCATTTTAATTCATTTCTCCCTCCTCTATACTTCTTGAGTTGTTTTTTGTTTTTTTTTAAAAAATATATCTTTATTGATTTCAGAGAAAGGAAAGGGAGAGGGGGAAAGAGAAAGATAGAAACATCAGCGATGAGAGAGTCATTGATCGGCTGCCTCCTGCATGTCCCACAACTGGGGATCAAGCTCGCAACCCGGGCATGTGCCCTGACTGGGAATCGAGCCAAAATCTCCTAGGTCATAGGTTGACGCTCAACCTCTGAGCCACACTGGCCAGGCCTTGAGTTTTTGAAAGGTTAAATTATGGTCTTTAAGCCCCTCTTTCCCCTACCCAGGACTTGATATCTCTTATTGCAGTATTAGAAATAAAAAAATTGTTAAGATTACAGAGGACTAGATTTAAAAAATAGCATTAGTGAAACGAAGCCAATTTTTGAAGAATTTTTGCATTGCTTTGAACTAACTTATTTGCTTTGAAAAAATATAAGCAAATATCACAAAAGAACTAAATGAGAGGATTTTAATACGAATATATGAGATAATCTATTTAAGAGGAATTAAGAACAGAATGAATATAAAGTTATGATTAAAGAAGTTCTATAAAGTACAAACTTTAAAGCTTTAACACATTGTTTATTTTTTTTGTAGATGAATTCTTATATTAAGAACCCCAAAATTCTTCTGTTGAAGTGTTCCATTGAGTATCTCTACAGAGAAGAAACTAAATTTACTTGCATTGACCCTATTGTGCTGCAGGTAAGAACTTCTAACTGAAACAAGAATGTGGAAGAATATTTGTGTACTGTGATGCTTGCAATCTTACAGCTTATTCCAGCTGATGAAATTTGACAGGCAAAGAAACTTGATTGCTTTTGTTTTAAGATTTTATTATAAAAGACATTTTCATGTATTATACTTTAGAAGGTTATCAAAATATCTGTCTCTTCTTATTTTTAGAGTTCAAAGTGTTAAAGGGAACACATGACTTTTGGGGAATATATGGAAAAAGAAGTGAAAATGTAGTTCCTGGTTTCTCTTCTCACTTGGGTCACTGATTCACTTTAAGGATTTCTCTAATTTACCAGGTTTCCAGTGGTAATACCTGGTTTTGATAGTCTTTCTATTTATGCACATGTTTCTAGAACATTAATTAGTTTTATATGCAACTAATGAATGGGAATGTGAGATGGAAGTTGTATTGGTTTCTGTGTGGTTTTTCATCTAAGTGGGCCTAGAATAGCTGCAGTCAGATTATAACCCTCAGCTCTATGGCTACACAGGCAAAAACCCTTTGAGCTCTGCTTTAGGAAATTAAAAGTGAGCTCCTCCTCGAAGGGCTCTCCCTCAGGGAGATGCACCCCCAGCCCTGTTATTGGCTCTGCTGCTCAGAGCTCCATTTCCAGTTGTACAGCTGCAGTTGCTTTTGTACGTTTTGAATTTCCCTTCAGGTAGCCTCCAGCTATGCTGAGCTGCCTGTCTAGGCTGTCCAAGTTCTCTCTCAGGGTACCAATTATTATTTTTGTTAGTGCTCTGCATATGAAGTTGCATAGGTTTTAAAAGTTTCCTGCTTCAACCCCCTTTTCCCCATAAATAATATTAATTTTAATTTATGGTTGTTCAAAATGGGAGGCTTTCAGGAATGTGTGTATCATATTATAGCAGAAACACTTATATTTGGTTCCAGAAACATTTAGGGAAACGTTTTTTGAAAATTCATTGGTGATAGGCACATTTTTCCAAGAGTGGAAGGAACAATCCCTTTTGCACTGAATCCATACACGCCACCAGAGGAAACTGCGTTGTGAAAGTCACCAGGGTTTGTGACATTCTACTCTGTTGCCTAATGAACTCTGTTACCTGGGCCTGTTTCCTCTGGAATTCAGCCGTGTATCAGTGAAAATGAGAGGTTTTGACTGGATTTATACCACCCCTTCTGGGCCTGACTGACTGACTTCAGTGGAGAACTGTAGTGAGGAGGAAGGGCAGACACAGTTACCTTCCATGGAACCTGAGACCCTGAGGCTGGTTTGCTGGCTCTCATCCAGGGGCTCAGCAGAGGGCTTCTGTGGGATTGGATTATAGCCGTGTTGGTTGTAACACGCATCCCGACTGCAGGGATGTTAAAATATGTAAAACTGTATGTGTCGAAATCGAGGAACTAGGTAATTGAAATCCACAGATACTTATTTGCAAAAAAGTCACACTTAAATTTATCTGCTTTAACTCCATTCTTGCAGTCAGGTTAACAGACTGAAGTCTTTCCATGTTAGAGAGGCATACTCTGAGCAAATATGTACTTGAGAAACATGGTTGGAAAAAAAAGAAACCTAATTTGATTCTATAACCTAATGCATCTTGTTCATCAGTGCTTTAGGACGTGAATTATAATACCTTCAATTCCTGTGTTATTACAGTTTTTAGTTTGAATTGGTAGAAAATACCAGCTGATTTTTTTCTCACCCCCCTCCCTTTTTTTTTGGCCCACCGAGTGTGGAATAACCAAAGAATCAAAGAAGCTGAAAAGTAGATAGCAAAGGGAGGGTGAGAAAGCAGGGGCAAAGAGAAATTTAGCCTGTCTTCACACTGCACTCACCAGGCGGCCCGTAGGCCTGTTGGTCTGCCATAGCTCCACCTCATGTTCATGACCACCTCCTGATACTCTTGCCTTGTAGAGTTGGGCCCAGGCCTCCTTTTTTTTTTTTTTTTTTTTTTTTTTAATTTTTAAAAAAAAAAAAAAAA